GCTTTCTTCCCCCCTCCATGCTCCTTGAAAGAGTCTGAAGTTATGCCACAGTCCTCTACTCTCTTTCTGCAGTTCAAATCTCACCTCCAGTTCTCACTGACAAATACACAACCTTGCTTAACCTGCTCTCACCGACCTCTTTATCATCCAGACTCTTGAAGCAGCCCGCTTTTTCTCATTGCACAGTGTTGCTAAAATTCCAGCAAAAGTTGCTGAAATTCACATGAGGCTGAGTTGCCTCATGTGAATATGATACACTGTTCACTCTAAATCAACAATCTAAATAATATCCAATAATAATGTGTGTATCTACATGCAAACACATGTAGATACACACTCCGTGTTATTTGGGATTTGACAGAAAGAAAATCTGTGAATCTGTGAAGTTTCTTGTTATATGTATGACTCAGTTTTAAAAATGAGTTATTATTATTGAAGTCACGCTGCAGACTGCCACATAAACAAAATGATTATGATTGTGAAATTTGCAATCGCACTCTCTCCGTTAGTTGGTTTAAAGATGGGAACCGTGTCCATGATCACTCGCAGTCTTTGGTTGCTGTCGTCAAAGCAACTGTCAGGGTGTCGGGATGCCAGTAAAATGGCAATAAGATAAAATCAGTCTGCTATCAGTTTGTGATTGACTGGTTTCAAGTTGGTAATTATATGGAAACTGTTATACTGCAATTAACTGTAATAAATTGCAAATCTGTTGCTGTCTAAATACACAAAAGTCCATAATCATCATACTTCATACTTACATTGACAGTCCAGCCAGAACGTCATAAATTAATAACAGAAATTTTGAAATTCCACCAGAAAGAGTGACATAGTTTCTGCAGGATAGCAAAGGCTCTTATATAGGAATACAATCAGCATGAAATCAGAATACAAACAGTTGGCAACTAGTTGATGCAACTAGTTGCCATTTGTGAAAAAATTCAATGCAGTCACAAGGCAATATCATTTTTTCTTTCGTCTCTTTGGTTGCAAGAAAGTAGTTTTGCTATTTTGTAAATGTGAATAAACTACAACAATATATTAGAATTATATCAATTAATATTTTTTTGAAAAAGGCATAAGTAGTTTTCCAAAACACCTGGAGTAAGTACTGCATTTACTTGGGAGTACTTTCATCTGTGGATCAGTGCACAGCTGGTGCACTGGTGAGTATTTATAGCATCTGGACTGTAGGTAGGAATGTCAGACCTGTCAAACTGCCTATTGCATAAGAACACCATCGAACATATCCCTTTCATGTCTAAATAGTAGTTTTATCTTAGTATACTATATAGCGCTATCTCAAAATCAAATATTGATTTAATCTGCTGTTGCATTGTCTGCAAGTTTGCTATCTGGTTTCGATCAGCTGTGCGCTTGCCTGACTGGTTCGATGTTTTTCCCCCACTTATACAACAGGGTTCCTTCCACAGTCATTTGAATTCCGAACAGGAAGCGCACAGTGATTTTCCCTCAAGCTGCTGTGTGCGAGAACGCGGCTGTCTGCTTCACTCTAAACTTGTTGAGCCTCCCTCTTACCAGGCAGTACATACTAAAAATCTCTGGCTGTAAACAAAAATGGCCAACGCTTAAATTTTCCTCTGCCTTTTCCCTCCTGTAAATCGTATGCACAATAATAAACAAACATGCAAATTACAAAAAAAATAAAATCAAAGCACGTCTGCTG